CTGACTGCAAGGGGTTAAGTATACTGTGTTGTCACATCCATCTCACATGCTCCACAGAGACAAAGCCAGGGTACCAATGTCAGGCAGGGGCAGACTGCAGCCCAGAGCTGGATGCCTTCTCAACGTCATCACTCAACATGGCTTTTGTGGCCCTGTTCTCAACACCACCCCCACCCCCCACCCCCCGTCCAGTTTTCCAGCCTCTGAATGCAAAAGCTCTCCTGCCTGGGATAGATGGGGCAGCTCTTACCTGTCTCAGCAGCTCCCAGGATGTCCAGTTTGTCACGGATGGCTGGGGCCAAGGTCAGAGCTTGGATTGGGGTGGGTGCAGAGAAGCCCAGGAAGCTGAGTGCTCGGAGAACGGCCTTGGGCACAAACAGGTCCCTCCATGCTGATACATCTGCCTTCTGGTCCTGCGCTTCAGGCATCCATGTCTTGGCTTTTTTGGGCACTTTAGAGGCAGTGCTGTGGGAAGGGTTTAACTTTTTTTTCCCTTTGTTTTTCTTCTTTCTTGGAACAGCCTGTGCCAGGCTTTCCGATGCTGCTTCTCCAACCTTTCGATCAGAACGGACGGTGACAGGAGCCTGAGTCTCCGGCCCAGAGTCTTTGGCTTCATCCTGGGCTGTACTTCCTTCAGCAGCCTCTACCGCAGCTTTCTGTTTCTTCAATTTCATCTTTTTCTTTGGGGAGCTAGACTCCCCCTCCTCTCCCGCCTCCCCCTCCTCTTCATCTTCTGAAACAGCTTGGGCCTTTCTCTTCTTTGGCTCCTCATTTGAGAAGAAACCAGAGGGATTCTTGGCAGGAGAGACTAAACGGTAATCTGTGAGTTCCTCGAAGCACACCAAGTCATCCATCTGTCCGTCTGCAAACAGGTTTGGATCGATCTTCACCTGCTTCCACTTCCCCACAACTCTGATGCCCTTCGTCTGGAAGGTGCCTCGGCTCGGTGGCCCGGGCCTTGATTTTGTGTCCTTTAACTTCATGGTTGCTGAAAAGAGACGTTCTTTCTCATTAGTGACTGTGGAGCACAGGCTCTACGGCAACACACGCTCCAATGAACCTAAAGCGCCTTGGACCCTGCAAACGACACAGGACCTGAAGATGGTTTGACACACAGGGAAGATGCTCCCAGCCAGAAAATGAAACACAACGCACCCACAGGATAGGTGGGCCGCCTTGGAGCAGAGGAAACACAGGCAATGCCGTGAAGACGAGCTAACGAGTGTCGGGATTCCAGCTCCAACACTCAATATAACTTCAACAACACTACCCACTCTTCTCAGAATTTAGTGTCTTAAAACTCCAAAAAGAGCCAGGCGGTGGTGGCGCACGCCTTTAATCCCAGCACTGGGGAGGCAGAGGCAGGCGGATCTCTGTGAGTTCAAGGCCGGGCTGGACCCACAGCCTCCAAAACAATACAGAGAAACCCTGTCTCGTAAAAACCAAAAAAAAAAAAAAAAAAAAAACCCTCCAAAAAGAGAGGGCCATGAAAATACCTACTTTTACGCTGTCCACAAATAACTGAAAGTATCAAGACAGGGACAGACGATGCCTGTCCTCCATGAGCTATTTTTAAGGTGGAGTAAGAACCCGAGATGCTTTTCCAGTTCTGTGTTAGGGGATGGAGTGTGCTTGCTTTATTGCAACTGCACTGAGCTCTCTTCCCTATTAGAAATGGCAATGATGCCATTTCCACCCCTATGCAGCTTCCTAATTGTATTTTAAGTGATCTAGGGCTAGCAGGAGGTGTAACTCAGTTTGTTGGCCTAGCATGAATGAAGGCCTGGTCTCCACCCCCCAGCACTGCGTAAAAACCATGCTTAGTGGGTAACCAGTATTCGGGAAAAGGAGATAGGAAGATTAGGAGTTCAAAGCCAGCCTCGGGTACATGAGACCCTGTTCTTTAAAAGGGGGTCGGATTATGCATGACTGAATGGAAGCGGTTCCACAACGACCTCTTTAAATAAAAGAAGGAACAGATACCGTGGAAAGAATAAGGTAAAACTCGATTAACGTCTAGATCCAACGTTTGCCACCTCTGAGTCTTTGGTGACCAACTCTGTAGCTCAGTTTCCTCGACTACAATTTAAGGACAATGAGATAATTATCCCACTGGGTAGTCGCTTCAAACACGACATGGTGACGCATGTCAAAACCCGCTTAGCATGGCGCCTGTGTAGACAGAGGCACGTTGACTTCGCAGGCAAGGCTCACCCAGACGTCCCAGGCACCGATTACACCACGACCCCACGGCCCCTCGGCCCCACCTTGACGAGCCGAAGGGAATGTCACTAAAAATGGGACGTGGGAGAATGCCCTGCGCCGCTAGCAAGAGTCCCTCGGACACAACGATCGCACGAGCCCTTCAAGGGAGGTTATTGAGCCTTGATGCCTGGTTACTGGTCCTCAGGCGTGGGGAACCCAGGAACCAGGGCTGTGGGGTCACGCGTGACCCGCTATGCTGCGGGAACACCGGGGGCGCGTCGCAAAAGGCCACGGAATCACTCCGCACCGCACTCGCCGAGAATACTCACCGCCAGCGATCTCTCACACGCCAGGATATCTGCGCCACCCTGACCCGGAACTGCAGCAGCGTCTGCATCTGCAGTTCCGGGGCGGGACTTTAGTCACGTGTGCGTGCCACAGAAGGAAGTACCGCCTCTGTACGGAAGTATCTGTCTGATTGGGATTGTCTCAGGATGTGGGCGGGAGCGAAAAGGCCTGGGCTGTGATACTCAGCTTGGCCCTGGGTCTCTTCCTGTTTATCACTTAGGCTGCATTTTGGAGCTCCTTCCTGGACGCTAGGGGGCGCAAGTGTTCGCGTAATCTCGATCTAGTATGGGAGCTGGAGCAGTTGCAAGTTCTTGAGTACCTACTATTAGCCTTGTAAAGATAGAGCGGCCAGGCTCGAACGCAAGTTTTAGATCCCGATACAATAGACTTTAACATTAATGAAAAATAATTAAAAGGCTTCCCTAACTAAGGTTATGACAATGCCTAGCCCTCTATAAACCATGAGTTAATTCTGTTCTAATCTGCACCTTTTTAAGCATCAGCTGGAGGCTACAGCTGAACAGTACTTAAGTTTTTCCTTTATCTCTGAGTGCTGAGAGTGTCTCACTGGGAAGGTTGAAGTCCTCAGCCTCAACACTAAAGCAGAGAAACAGTCCCCACAGTGTACATTGTGACATGTTCCAAAAGCTATTGATACTGGAAAGGACAGCATCCTAACAGCCTGCCCTCCATTCATCTTTTACCCACAGGTTTTACAGGTATTAGATCTCATACACAGGACAAAAGGCTGTCTTATCAAAGGAGACCTCTTAGCCAGGCTCTCCCAGCCTCTCAGTCCCTACCCCTTAACGGGTATGACTGGCACACGCTGCCCTCTGCCCTGGGTTCTCTAGCCCAGGGGCTGGGCTGCCCTTGCCCCCACAGGCTCTTCCCTGTATAATGCAGACATTTTAGTTACCTACCATTTGGTACCTTTGACCTCCTGGCTGGTTCACCTGGTTCCCCCCTCTCTCTTTCCCCCAACCTTAGCCTCTTCCCACGGGGACCAGCTCAGTCTGGTCATGTCTACTCTGGACTCTCCCAGATATCCAAACCTCTGACTGTGCTCTCACCCGTATCTGTGACAAACTTTCTCCTCTAACATGCCTAGGAGCAGCAATGCCCTTTCCTTTCCTTTTTATGCCTTATATTTTTATTCACCCACCACTTTACTATTTTGTGTTAGAAAAGCACATCTGTCGCCATGCATCCCTGTCTTTAATGCAGCACTAGAGAGGCAAAGACAGGTAGAGTTCTGAGTTCGAGGCCAGCATGGTATGGAGAGTGAGTTCCCAGCCAGCCAGCCCAGTGCTACACAGGGAAACCCAGCCTCATAGAAAAAAGAAACAGAAAAGAAAAACAAGAGAACATATTTGCGTTCCATATATAAATGGCAACCTATGCCCCTGCATGCAGGTGACAGTGGGCAGTTTGTGGGGCCACTGGCAGTGGGACCAGAAGCTATCCCTAATAAATGAACTGGCTTTTTGGAGCCCATTTTCTATGGAGACATACCTTACTCAGCCTAGACACAGGGTGGGTGGTCTGAGGGGGTGTTGGTCCTGCCCCAAGGTGGTGATGGGACAGAATTCATCGACTCCCCATGGGAGGGAGACCTTACTCTCTCTGAAGAGCAGAAGAGGGGTGAGATGGGGGAAGGTGGGGGGAGCAGGAAGAGGAGAGGGAGTGGGAACTGCAATTAGTATGTTAAATAAATGAATGAATAAAATAAAAACTTAAAAAGGCAAACTATGTATGTTTTACTATTAACTTGACATGTGTACACGGATAGTGGCTTATTTGTCTTATTTTCACCTCTCCCAGCCCACATGCCCCTTGAGGAGCACAAAGGTGACACTACTAGTCACTAGTGAACCTGCATATCAAAGTCTGAGCCCAAACATCCATGGGATGGGGGAAGAAATACAAGAGATAATAAGGAAAGAGGTCCAAACATTGGACATCACGAGTCTCAGACTGTGGCTGGCCATATGCTCAAAGAAGCAAAATTGATCTCCAAAACTGCTTTGTGTCACCACCCCTGTGTCACACACTCCTTCTGACCTCCCCACCCCTGTAGAGCTACACTGTGGGCTGAATATAAAACGTGAGATGTAACGCAGAGTGTGTGTGTGTGTGAGTGTGTGTGTGTGAGTGTGGGGGGAGAGTGAGGTGGGAGTGAGTGTGTGTGTGAGTGTGTGTTTGTGGGAGTGAGTGTGTGTGTGTGTGAGAGAGAGAGACAGAGAGAGGGAGGGAGGGAGGGAGAGAGGGAGGGAGGGAGGGAGGGAGGGAGGGAGGGAGGGAGAGAGGGAGGGAGAGGGAGAGAGTCCAAGCCATCAGTCAGGACAGAAACCAATCTAAGGAAACCATCTATTCACAGGTTAGGTAGGTGAGTGGAGCAGGGTAGTTTCTCCTCTACTACTTTCCAACCTCCCCCAGGGGGCTGACTGCTGACTCATTGCAAGGGACAGGACATGTCCCTGTTGGTTCACCAGCAAGAGTCTTTCCTTCCCGCCTCAGATTTAAGTCACTTTCCTAGCTTACCAGCTACCAAGACATCTCACCATGCTGAGTTAGTAACCCTCACCTTCCTGTGGGCTGGGAACTGGGCTCGCTGACACAAGCCTAACAAGAACTCACTGACATCAACCAACACTAATCTCTTCTACCCTCCCCATCTCTCCCTAGGTGTGATCATCGGTGCTGCAATAGGAGGAGGTATGTTTCCTGCACCTGCTGGGCTGGGAGGCTGTGGGAGCTTTGTGCTTGGCTGTGGGCTCTACCCCAGCTCTTGCCTTCTGCTGGATTCTGGGGCTGCCTGAGTGAAGAGGCAGGGGCAGAGCTGTGCTCATTCATTCTAGAGTGGGTCTTTCCCTCTGAGCACACACCACCTGACTCCTCTCCCCACAGCTGGGACTCTGATTGCTGCTCCCATAGCCCTGGGTGCTGTGGGCTTCACTGGGGCAGGAATTGCAGCAGGATCCATAGCAGCCAACATGATGTCAGCAGCAGCAATCGCCAATGGGGGTGGAGTTGCAGCAGGAAGCCTGGTAGCCACACTGCAGTCTGGTAAGTGTCAGTCCAGGCAAGATGAGTGGAGACCCAGCCAAGGAAGGCATCTCCCCCTCCTCTCCCTACACTCCCACCTTTTATAGGACCTGGGTCTTCTAGTTCTGTTGTTACTATCTGGTCCATTGGGAGTGCGGTTGGGGTGTGGTGCAGACAGAAGGGGCACTGGATGGCAGAAGCAGGGAGGATCCCTGGTCTAAGATGTATGCTACCTGAGCTCTGAATCTTCCCTACATGATGTCCTTCTCCAGTGTGTCCCCCTCTGTCCTGCTGTTTAGAGGGGACATTGCTCTCTGGAGAGCTCCCCCTCCCCTATCTCAGTTTACCCAAATGTCTTCTATTTCTGGTCCACTTTGAATATCTTTGTCTAAATCAGAACTCTAGAGTTCAGACAAAAAGGTAGTTGGGCATCTATAAGCCTCAGGCCACTGTCATGCACTGTCTTTTTTCCAGGGGTTGTTGGATTCTCTATAACAGCCAACACCATCCTGGACTCTGTTGGAGCTGCCAACGGAGCCTTGCTTTGAACTTAGGAGATGACACTTCTACAGTTGAACCCAAAGCCTATTAGTACTATTCATGAGACAGTGTACCCTAAGATGATCCTCCAAATCCCTCATTGAAGTCAGAGAAAGATGAAAAATAAAGGTTATATGCTGGTATGCCTATCTTTGCTTGTGGTGACTCTTTTAGGGACTTGTGGACTGGGAGTTTCAAGTCTTCAGGTTTCCTAAGACAGACTCAGGCAGGACATCAAAGGGAGGTGACAGGTTGGCCAACACAGTCAGTAGGAAGGAGGCTTTAGGTGGTCCTTGCTTTAGTGAGGATGGTCTCTGTCACATGGGTGACTTTTCAGATCTTTATGTGCCTCATTTGTTCCTGATCAAAGATTGGGCTAACAGAGGTTGCTGTCCAGGGGCAGAGGTGAGAGATAGCCTAGACTATTGACCCCAGAGTTCTTGGTCCTTCTTCATCAATGTGCAGGGCTATGAGCAGCACATAGCTTCCCAACTGTACCAGGGATGCCCTGGGCTAAGCTACTGCACTGCTACCTCGGGAAGGAGATAGAATAAAAAAATAAGCCGGGCGTTGGTGGCACACGCCTTTAATCCCAGCACTCGGGAGGCAGAGGCAGGCGGATCACTGTGAGTTCGAGACCAGCCTGGTCTACCAAGCGAGTTCCAGGACAGCCTCCAAAGCCACAGAGAAACCCTGTCTCGAAAAACCAAAAAAAAAATGGTCACCACCACACAATGTCTATAAAATTGAAAAGGAGGCTGAAATTCCTGCCTTATGTCCTGGGACCCTGACCACACACTCACCCAAGGTGGGAGTCATCACCCACGTGGGGTAAAATGCAGTGCTGCAGAGTCCATAATGACACAAAGGACTTTGAGGCATGAGGATTCTGGCATTTATGAAATAATTTTGTCACAGGGCACTGTGCACTGTAGTGACAGGTACCAGGCACATTCATGTAAATCAGAGGCTGGAATCTGATCTCATGAAAAGATATAGAAATAAGGGACATGGGGAGGCATGCAGAAGTCTATCAGGGGAGCACACACACACAGAGATAAGGTTGTGTGTGGGCTTCTGTTAGCTCAGGTCTCATGGCTTGGACTGCATCAGTCACTTCCAGGCAGGGAAGGAGAGGCTCTGTTGGGTTCTTGTATGACAGCAGGATGCCTGGACTGATGCTAAAGTTTACAGAAGCAGGTGTGGGCTGGTCCAGGAGAAGTGCATGATAATGCATCACTCAAGCATTGGCTACCCACCTCTCTGGGGCCCCCTTCGAAAGGGCCTCAGCAGGGTATGCGGTGGTATGAATGGTTCCTCACCCAAAGTCAATTGTCAATTTGTCAGCTGCTTCTTCTTCTTCTTCTTCTTCTTCTTCTTCTTCTTCTTCTTCTTCTTCTTCTTCTTCTTCTTCTTCTTCTTCTTCTTCTTCTTCTTCTTCTTCTTCTTCTTCTTTCTTCTTTCTTCTTTCTTCTTTCTTCTTTTATCTTTCTTCAATATTTTTACTCATTTATTATGTATAGTGTCTGCCTGCAAATATCCCTGTTGGCCAGAAGAGGGCACCAGATCTCATTTACAGATGGTTGTGAGCCACCATGTGGTTAATTGAACTCGGGACCTCTGGAAGAGTATTCAGTGCTTTTAACCACTGAACCATCTCTCCAGCCCCTCATTAGCTTTTTTTTTTATTAGCATAGCTGTGGTGCCCTATTACAGAAACAGGGTCAAGTGTGTTGAACAGATAGGCCACTGACCTCTTCCAAGGTTCCAATACCTGAGCTAGGACACCTGCCCCCTTTGAAATCTTTTACATAGGACAGGATACCCTTGCCCCCTTTCCTGGTGTCTCTGACTTCCCCTATGGGATCTCTTCTATATGTCTCTCTGAACACTACGGCTACTGCTCAGGTCAATCTTTTGTTTTGCACCTTTTCCCAGCACTGTCATGGTTATTGTTAACTTTTTGATCAATCTCCAGTAATTGGGACCCATTCCTATCCTCAAACCATTCTAACTTCAGGGGTTTCTTTCTAATATGTGGGCTTGACTGCATGACAAAACCAATACTGGTTGCTTGCTGCTTTTCTGGTCCCTTTAGGGTTATTGGAGTGAACATCAGATGAGGGTCACACAATCCCTTTGTGAACCCAATAGGTGATGCCTGGGACTCTTTTATTACCTCTATCACCTTAGACAGCTTGGAAATGTTTCTAGCAGCTTCCTTCAATACATGAAACAATGGCCTGACAAAAACTCTTCAGAGGCTCCTTATCTTGGGCAGTGTTGGACTCCCAGTCAGGTCAGACTGAGAGAAAACCCCCTCTAACTGGACTACCCTGACTGGCAGTGATCCTCTGTCAGGCCCAAGGGTGGTTTATCTACTGCATGCTCCAGTCTGCCCCTTCCTTTGGCCATGAAGAGGGTGTCCAGGAGCTGTTGACAGTCATCCCAGGTCACTGGTGGGTATAAAAAAAAAAAAAACTGTCTCTAGGCGCCTAATCAGGGCCTGAAGTTTTCCAGAGAATGGTGGTTTTGAATCTTCCAATTATACCCATCACTGACATGAATCTTGAAATGGAGACAGGGACAACCTTTGGTCTTGAACACAGGGGAGGGGAGCTGACTCCTTTAGAGAGAGGATGAGGACTGCCTCTGCCCCAGGAAAATCCCTCCTGGAACTCCAATAGCTAGAACCACTCCATGTGTGTGTGTAAGGGGGTGGGGACCCAAGCTAGAAGAGATGGCCGCTTCCTGAGACCAAGTGTGAGCAATGAACTCTCCCCTCTCCCCAAGTGTGGCCGAGAGCTGTGCTGGGCACATAAAGGGGGAAAGTCAGTTTCCTCTAGTGAGGCCGCAGGACTGAGAGAATACGCAAGGTGTGGGTTTTCTCTGGTGACCTAGCTGAGACAAAATGTTCGAATTCAGGCCACCAGAAATAATCCCTGGATACACAGCGGGGAGGGTGGTGGGAATGCAAACCAAGCCGTGGCTTTGAGATGAGCGGGACACAGCAGACGCGATGCTAAAATTCCTCACAGGGACTGAGCCAACCCCACCTGAGTAGCTTTGGAGCCCATTATGGAATTCACTCTGTAGACCAGGGTGGCCTGGAACTCACAGAGGTACATCTGCCTCTGCCTCCTGAGTGCTGGGAGTAAAGATGAGCACCACCAAAGCTGGGCATGCAGCTTCTGTTTCCACATATAGATTCATTTCACAAGAGCACTCACCTACACCAGGTGTCTCTGAGACAAGATGCCAGAAGAAAGAGGTGAGCGTAACCCACCAAATCACAGGTACCATAGACGTCAAGTCCCTGTTCAACCTTTGCCATGCAACACACACACACACACACACACACACACACACACACACACACACACACACACACACACACACACGATTTCTAGGGGATAAGGCTGGCAACAATTAGTTTTTTTTTCTTTTTGTTTTTTTGTTTTGTTTTGTTTTGTTTTTATTTTTCGAGGCAGGGTTTCTCTGTATTGTTTTGGAGGCTGTCCCGGAACTTGCTCTGTAGACCAGGCTGGCCTTGAACTCACAGAGATCCTCCTGCCTCTGCCTCCTGAGTGCTGGGAGTAAAGGTATATGCCACCAATGCCTGGCACAACAATTAGTTTTATTTCTTATTTCCAAAGAGGCATTTACCATTGGCTGTTTGTCTCCTGGAGATAACTGATCCTTGTCTGGGTTGGAATAGCTGGGAGGTGTCTCTTCTGATTCCAAGTCTCAGAGAGGAGCAGGGCTGGAATTCTCACAGATGCCCATCACACTGGCTACAATGCTGAGCACAGGAGGACAGATCGTCCCCTGGGGTTAACTTGCCACTCTCTGAGTTGGACAAGCTGGGAGGTGTCACCTCTGCTTTCCCAGCCTCTTCTCCGGGTAGAGAAGGGTTGGAACTCCCACACATGCCCATGACACTGGCCACAAGGGCAGTTCCTGCAGAACCCAAGAGGACTTGAGATGACGTGGACAGTCCAGCGGCTCCTGTGGAAGAAACAAAGGATGAAATACATGAAATGGGATGAAACTATGGGTTCAGAGAGGGTCATAGTTGGCAGGGTCACTCAGGATGGCCTGAGGTACAGGTCTCACAATATCAGACTTATTTCAAAACGCTACAGGATGTGTGTCTAGCACAGTTACTTTCACAAGGAACTGTTCCCTGCAGGAATTCTAGGGGAAATCAATCCAGTGGGATAACACCTCCTCTATAGGGAAGAAGGCTGGACCCCAGGTGGAGGTTTGAACCCCAGGTAAACTGGTCAGGGATCCTCCCCTCCCTCCTCCACCTCCCCTGACAAAGCCCAGAAGGAAGGTAAAGCTGGAACTGAGAATCTGGGTCCTGTGCTGCCCTCCCTCTAGTCCTCCTGCCATGACACTTACCCACTGACTGCAGAGTGGCCACCAAGCCACCAGCCGCAACTCCACCCCCATTCGCAATGGCTGACAAGGACATCATCTTAGCAGCTAGAGAGGAGGCAGCAATTCCTGTCCCTGTGAAGCCCACAGCACTCAACGCGGGGGGCACAGCAGCTACAGTCATGGCTGTGGGAAGAGCAGCTGTGTCAGGTGATTTGTGGAAAGGGAACCCCAACATACTGGGTCAAACATGGGGGACCTGCTGGGGTCTGGAGGAGGAGGGAATGAGCAGAGAAGCCTGGGTCAGGGCTTTCCCTCTTCCCTCTAATGTCTCGGCAGTGAAGCCCAGAGAGCAAATGTGGAATATGAGGCAAGAGGCAGGCTTGAAGCAGACGACCAGGCAGGAGTCAGGAGCCAGGGAACATACGAAGAGATAGATGTTTGTCCCTGAAGATGGAGTCCTGGGCTGGCTCTGATTGGCAGCAAGAACTTCAGGTTAGGTGAGTTTGGGACCTCAGTGTCTGCCTTGGTCTAATGCTGGGATCAGAGAGTGGCCCAAAGTTACTGTTTACAGAGGATCACATCTCTCCAGGAGACAGCAGATGCTGGGGCTGGAGGAGGCATCCCAGAGCCCTTCTGTGTCTCCACTGAGCAGCACAGAAATGGTCCCTGCATACATTGTCCAGTCCATCCCTACTCTCTGCTTACCTCAGCTCTGTAGCCCTCTAGGGCATCTGTAAAAGAGCTGAAAAGCTCATTTTCTTTCAAGGAAGCAATTAGGAGCTCAGAGGAGTTTGCATGCATTCACCAGGCCTAAGGTGACTAATCTCACACAAGGCGGTGTGGACCTGCAAAAGATGTGCCCTGTAACTGCTTACCCTCCCTCCTTGCTTCAGGTCCTTCTTTCTAGACACTTCCTCCATCCCATCTTCACCTTTGCCCCACCACCTCCAGGGAGGCCTGCTGGGACAAGATGGGCATCCTCCTGGCTCCCTGCATACAGGCAGGTCTTGGCGTAGACTGGCACCCTTCCCTGAAGATACTTACCTCCCCCAAGCACAGCAACAGTAGCCTTGGCTAGAAACAAAAAGAAAATCCTGTGAGAGGATTGCCACTGTCCCTTGCCCATCCAGCTGACAGGAAGGAATGAGCCCTGTCTGTCCTTCCCTGAGAGAGAGGACACAGGTGCATCTGTCTGCCCTGAGCAGGGACTGGAGCTGGATTCTGGAGACCTCTGAGAGCTCACATGCATGTTGCTCTTTTCTTGGGCATTTGCATGCTTGCTGTGTGCCTGCTCTGGGGAAAGGTATCCGGTGTTATCATTTCTTTTCTCTACCCCACAAAGCAGGGTAGGTTCAGTGAAAACTAACCAGCTTATATCCCCAGCCACTTTCTACTTCATTTTGGTTTGAGTGACTGCCGTGACCTCCCTGAAAAAAAAAAGTGAAAAAAAGAACCCTATTCTGTAGAGAGAGATCTTAGGTACCCGTAGCACTGACAGCACCTGTTTGGGTGTGGTCACAGCTAAGTATAACGTGTGAGGGATAAGAGCTGGGGGGAAAGAGATGCGTTCTCTCTTGGGGTTCCGGCTGGGTCTCAGAGACAAGCACAGTGCTGACCTTAAGTTCCCGGCTTCTCATGTAAGAGGCTTCTCCCTAATAAAATGTCATATGACATCCCTACCCTGTGCAGTACTATTCTTGTGGGTCTTGCTAGACACCATGTGGTAGCCCCTCTCAGTGAGCACAGAGTACTGGAGCTGTAATTAGGAGTCCTGCCTGACTGATGCAGGGCTAACCCTCCACTGATAGGGAGCAAGACAATATGATGCTTTTGAATCCTTAAAGCCTAAACCAGTGACACACTTCCTCCAACAAGGCCACACCTCCTAAATCTTCCCAAATACTTCCACCAACTAGTGACCAAACAGTCTTTGAGTTCCATTCTCAGTCAAACCACAACAGCTGTCCTGGTGGTTTCTTCCCTTCACAACAGGCTACTAATTGATTAGAAGCAGGGTCAGTCTTTGCCAGTGTGTGTTATCAGAATTTTGAAGCTCAAATTCTAGTTAGTCTTAATAAAAAGCCAAAGACATATATTGGGTTAAAGATGAAGATCAGATAAGCAAAGCAGCAAGCTACTAGTAAGTTCTCACCTGTACCAATGCTTAGACCCAGTGGGTGACCCACTGAACCTCAAACTTCTCCAGACTGCATTGCTCCTCAGACTTCACAGCATTGCACCAAACCTCAGACCACACTGAGCGCCTCCCTGCTCAGGCCTTATATTCCTCTATAGTGTTGGGATTAAAGGCTTGGGATCCCAGTTGCTGAGATCACCCTTGAGTGAGCTCTGTTTCTCCTTTAGACTCGATCAATTTTATGTAGCCCAGGGTGGCCTTGAACCAATAGAAATCCGTGTGCCTTTGTCTCTTGAGTGCTGTTTTTAAAGATGTGTACCACCACTGCCTGGCCTCTATGGCTAAGTAATGTGACCTGCTTTGCACTCTGATATTTAGGTTATTAGGTGAATAAACAATTCACCTCACTCCTTGGCCCCTCAGGGGGGCAGGAAATTTCCAATTTACAGAGCTGTACTTCATTGTAGGGTCTACGTGTAGTAAGTTCAAGCATCTGTGATGCAAACATGTTTTCTGAATGTTACTTTCTTTTCATTTTGGTTTTTCCAGACAGGGTTTCTCTGTGTAGCCTTGGATGTCCAGGAACGTACTCTACAGACCTGGGTAGCCTCGAACACATAGATCTGCCTGTGTCTTGTAGTCATGGGCCACCAATGACTGACTGAGAGCTACTTAAGAGACATGTTTGGATGAAGTAAGGCACTGATTCATTGTTTACTCCTCCAAGAAGCCTTCCCAGATTCCCCTGAACAGAATTCATTTCTCTAGACATGTAGCATCCATCCTGAACCATATTTAGGTACATATGAACTCAGCTCCCAACACTCTAGACCCACAGACATCACACCAGATCCTGGTCTCCTGCAACTATAAGGACCAACTCTGTAGTTGGTGAAAGACCCCCAGAGTGGGGAGACCCTCACTCAAGTCTCGGGATAAGCCGATGCCCCAATAATTCAAGAGAGACCGTTCTGTGTCATAGCGGCCTGCAGAGTATTCAGGCCATGTTGGAGGTCTGTAGTCCCGGTACCAATTCCTGCTGCTATGCTCAAACCCAACATTACTGCTAAGGTGAGGGATACCGGTTTCCTCTTGTCCCTTTTTTGGTTATAATCATAGGCATCTATGACTGTCTCCTCGGGGTGGTAGTAGATGGAGGAACCAGCTGAACCATAACACAAAAGTCTCTTGACTGGTTAAACACAACAGTAGAGACACAGGGGGTAAGCCCAGTACTACACACCCACCAGCTATTGTTACTTGATAACAGATAAGGGTTGGTCTCTGTTACCATAATGGTTGAGCTGTTGCAGAGGTGTTGGTGGGAGAGAGGTACTGTTCCTAGGCATAATCCTGAGCCTGAGGCTTCAGTAAGGGTGAGCTTACTTTTGGGAGCCCCAGGAACATTGATTTGGATCTGTCACGGAGGTGATGGTACCAGAGATGGCAGTTCCCTTGTAATAAGGAGGACGAGCAGCAAGACCTAATCTTCTGTGGTGAGCAGGCGACATAAATGCAGCTTAAGAGGATCACCAGTCCGTTCCAGCTTCCAGGAGACATCTTGGGTTGCAGGAGGGGCCGCTTTGATGTGGGATGCATGGATCCAACCTGGGATGCCATCAACCTTGATGGCGGTAGGACTTGTCAGGAGCACCAGGTAGGGTCCCTTCCATCTGGGTTCGAGATTGCCGGATCGATGACGCCGGACCAGGACAGAGTCTCCCACTTGGAACTTATGTGGTACAGCTGTGGTTCCCGGTTCGTATGCTCCTTTAAGCTGTTCCCAGGCACCCTTTCTGACCAGTTCAAGAGCCTTTAAATGAGCTAACAGGGGTTGGGAGAAAGAGGCATCAGGATCAAGTACCCCTCCTGCTTCTGGCAAGGGGGGCGGTCCCCCATGGAGGAGCTTGAATGTTGTGAGTTTAAATTTCCCTGGGGTGTTCCGTACTCGGAACAAGGTGAAGGGCAGGAGGGCTGTCCAGTCCTTTCCACCAGTCTCTAAGGTTAATTTAGTCAAGGTCTCTTTTAATGTTTTATTTATTCTTTCTACCTGTCCTGATCTCTGGGGTCCATAAGCACAATGTAATTTTCAATTAATCCCCAGTTGGGTGGCCAGGGCCTGACTATTCTGGGCAACAAAGGCAGGACCATTGTCTGATCCAATTACCTTAGGGATGCCGAATCGTGGGAAAATCTCCTCCAGTATCTTCTTTGCTACCACATTGGCTGTTTCCCTCTTTGTAGGGAAAGCCTCTACCCATTCTGAAAAGGTATCTATGAAAACTAATAAATATTTGCTACCATATTTTGCTGGTTTAACTTCTGTGAAATTGACCTCCCAGTATGCTCCTGGCCTGTCTCCCCGGAGGCGTTTTCCGGGGGCACCTAGGTGATGTCCAGCATTGGTTAAGGCACAGACCTTGCAATTCTGAACTACTTTTTGGGCAATGTCCGAGAAGCCCATGACATGATAATCGGAGTGACGTATGATGTCCTTCAGCTTCTTTGTCCCTAGATGAGTTAGTTGATGTAAATTGGTGACATGATGTCGTCCCCCCTCTTGGGGTAGTTTGGATTTGCCATCTTCTGTCTCAGCTACTCCATAGGGGGAGTAGCCATGCACAATTTTTAGTTTCTCCATCTGCTTATGATCTTCAGGGGTATACCTGAAGCTAGTTTCTCTAATGTCATAATAGTCTTTAGGTTCCTTAGTTTTTTGTTCAGCTGCGAGGATCATAGCTCCTTGAGCCGCCTGCTTGGCAGCCATGTCAGCCATTTGATTTCCCTTGGCTATGACGTCTTGGCCCTTTTGGTGGCCAGGACAATGTATAATGGCCAGTTTCTTTGGCAAATGTATGGCCTCTAACAGGCTTAAGATTTTTTTTATTTTATTTTTAATGTCCTTTCCAGCCGATGTGAGTAACCCCCCTCTGTTTATAAATTGCCCCATGTATGTGAGCGGTGGCGAAAGTGTACCTGCTGTCCGTGTAGATGTTGATAGCCTTTCCTTCTGCCAGCCGCGAGGCTTGTGTGAGTGCGATCAGCTCAGCTTTTTGGACTGACGTTCTCTCAGGTAAGCTGCTGGCCCAGATGGTCCGCTTCTGTCTACTACCGCAGCCCCAGCTCTCCGCTTACGTTCAACCATGAAGCTGCTACCATCCGTGTACCAATTAGGGCACCCTGGCCATGGCTGATCAGTGAGGTCTTTCCTGGTTCCGGTTTCTTCTGCCAGGATGTCCATACATTGGTGTACCGGTAATGAGTAGTCTGTCTCTGGCAGCAAGGAGGCGGGGTTTAGGATAGCCGGGGGTGCAAGCAGCACTCTCTCAGTTAACAAGAGGCTCTGATAGTGAGCCATGTGGGTGTTGCTCATCCAGCGGTCAGGCGGTTGTCTGATGATGCTTTCCAGGGCGTGTGGGGCTACCACTACAGTCTGTTGACCTGAACGGAGCCAAATCTCGATGGAGGCCTTCGTCGAAGAGAGTGGGGGAGTTTTTGAATCCCTGAGGCAGACGTGTCCAAGTCAGCTGTCCAGCCTGTCCCCGATCTGGGTCTCTCCATTCAAAAGCAAAGATCGCCTGGCTTGTAGGATGTAGTCTCAGGCAAAAGAACATGTCTTTCAAGTCCAGAACCGTGTACCATTGTCTGTCAGGAGGGAGAGAACTGAGCAGGTTGTAAGGGTTAGGGACAGTAGGGTGGATTCTTGCACCCTTTTGTTAACTTCTCTTAGATCTTGGACTGGCCAGTAATCATTGGTGCCTGGCTTCCTAACTGGCAGCAACGGAGTGTTCCAGGGAAACTGTTAAGGAACCAGAATACCTAGTTGCAGGAGTCTTTGGATGTGAGGTCTGATACCCTCTCGGGCTTCCTTGTTCATAGGGTATTGTCGTACCCCAATGGGGGTTGCATCAGTCTTTAGGCTTACGACGATGGGGGGCACCCGTTTGGCCTCTCCCATGCCCCCCGTCTCTGCCCATGCTCTGGGGAACCTCTCTAGCCATGTTCTCCCCAGTGTCTTGTCTGGTGGGGCCAGGGGCTCATTAATCTATATTCTTCCTCCAGTTTTAAGGCCAAGATCATAGAAGTGGGAGTCTGCCAACTGACTATGGTTCCTTCTGAGGAAAAGTTTCTTTGGGCTTTTAGCTTAGACAGCAAATCTCTCCCCAATAGTGGCATGGGGCTCTCAGGGATGATGAGAAAGGAGTGAGTTACTTGACCTTTTCCCAGATCAACCTTCCTGTTGGTGGTCCAAGAATATGGTATCTGGCCAGTGGCCCCAATTACTATGGTTTTTTATCTTTTAATTTTCCCAATGGTTTCTTTAAAACTGAAAATTCTGCTCTGGTATCAACAAGGAAGTCCATAGGGGTCCCCTCCACAGTTAGGATTACCCTAGGCTTGGGGAGGGGGCCCGAGCCCCGTCTCCCCTAATCATCTTCCTCTAAGGTGAGGACCTTGGGTGTCTTGTGTTTCTTCTTGGGGCAGTCCCTTGCCCAATTTCCCTTTTCCTTACAATAAGCACATTGATCCTTATCTAAAGGCTGCCGAGGGGTTCCTTCAGGGTTCCGAGGTCTCCTTGGCCCTTCATTACCCAGGTACCCTGTCTGCCTAGTTCCTTCTTCCTTCCTATGAGCTTCCCTGTTGCCTACTATTGTGGCCAAAATCCTAGTTAAGTTTCTTTCTTGCCTTCTATCTCGTCTATCCTGTGTCTCCTCAGCTTCCTTCTTTTCTCTTTCTTTTCTTTCTTCCTCAGTCTCTCTCTTATGTCACACTTTCTCTGCTTCCTTAACTAGGTCTTGCAAAGATAATGTTTGCAGACCTTCCAGGCACTGTAACCTTCTCCTAATATCAGAGGCAGACTGTCCAGTAAAAGCCATAGCAACTGCCGCTTGCTGACTCTTGGAAGCATTCTGAAGTTGAGTTGGTTGACCATTGATTCCAGGCACATTCTTCCACGCCTCCAAAAGTATTCTCTCTCTTTCCTCAGTGGTGAAAAGAACCTGCAAAAGCTGTTGACAATCATCCCAAGTAGGCTGGTGAGAGAACATGAGGGACTCCATCAGACCTGTAAGGCTTGAGGGATTTTCTGAAAAAGGGGCATGGTTAGATTTCCAATTGTAGAGGTCGGCCGAAGAGAAGGGCCAATACTGGAGTAATTGCAGCTGGTTAGGGTTCTCTGGTGGGGGGCCATATACACTCAGAGGCAACGCTGTAGTTGAATCTGGACCCTCAGGACTCTGGGCGCATCTGCTCCTGGTCCCAGCGGCCCGTCCCTCTGCTGGTCCTCCAATGGCATCCTGTTGAGGATTCTGAGGGGGTATTAGGAGGGGATAAGGGGGTGGGATACTAGGCCATTCTGGAGGCTCCTCAATTTTGGGATATATCTTAGGAGGAGATGAGATTGAGTCTTATTTGGCGGTTTAGACTCCGCTATTTTCTGCTTTCGTTTTTTTTTTTTTTCCATGTTGTGGAGTGCCAGGACTCAGGAGCCTGGCTTACTTATCTGGGTTCAAGTTTTTAACCAGGACAGAGGATCTTGCGCCAGATCTTCCCAGACACAAATATAAGGTCCTTGGTCAGGGTAAGGCCCTGGTTCCTTCTGAAAAACCATATTTTTAATGGCAGAAATCACAGTAAGGTCAAGTGTACCCTCTGGAGGCCAGCCAACATTGTATGTTGGCCATTCTGAAGAACAAAAAGTTCTCCAAGGTCCCTTCTTAACTTCTACAGACAGGTTGCATGCCCTCGTTCTAATTTCTGTCCAGTGGTTGAGAGTTTGACCAAGAGGAGTACTGACAGTCTGTCCCATTGTCCAAGTCACACAAAAGAAGACAAACAGAACACTCAAAAGACAGAGAAAGCCGAAACCAGAGCCCGCCTCTTGCTGGACTTTCAACACCAGGAAACAGAATCAGACGGGGATGCAAAATCTCTCCTTGGCACCCAGATGGGAAATCTCCGGGCATCCTCGGACTTCCCTCAGACCTCCTGGGATGTCTCCCAGGGCAACAGTCGGTTATCTCCTGACACTCCTGACACATCTGTCGATAATTCTCCCCTCCATCCCGGATAAGGGAGTTTGTTGCTCTCATGAGCGCGGACAAAAAGTACCAGATTCAGACAGCCGGCAGACAAAGACACAGACAAAGACAGAATCTTACCTCCAAGAAGGGTCCCCAAGAATTTGGATGGTCGCAAACCCCCAACTGAAAGACCCCCAGAGCTGGGAGACCCTCACTCAAATCTCAGGATAAGCCGATGCCCCCAAAATTCAAGAGAGGCCGTTCTTGCTGCAAGCACACGAGGTTGATTCAGGGAACCAGTGCACTGGGGCCGAGCTCATGACCCTCTCAGGGGCAGATGAGTTGGACCCCCAGTAACTGCAGTCGGGGGTTTTTTAAAGGGAGAAACCGAATGGGGGAGTTAGGCAAACATCATAAAGGATGAGAAGTTAAATGATAGCTTATGTCTTAACAGGAAGGTCATCTCAAGCAACCATTCTTTGGGCATTGTACTTAAACATTGAGCAGGAATGTGGTGAGCTAGTTCCTGGATCTGGAAGGGTTATCTTTTAAGTTTATCTTGAGGTCTCCGGTTTCTCAGGAGAGGGCAGAAGGGCAAGTCACTCTGTGATGGGCTAGTCACTAGGGGTCTAAAAATGTTGAGTTGGGATCTCTCACTGGTAAGGCCAGAATGTCACAGGTAGCCTGGAAAGCTTAGCCAGCTCTCTAGCTTCTTGTGGATAAAGACAGGAGAATGAAAGCTAGGCTTGTACAGGCAGAAACTGAGTGGCAGAGGTGGGGGTTCTACCTGGTGGGGATGTGCACCCAGGGCCTCAAGAACAAGGTTGGATGGCATTTATTTTCCTCTTGTACTGGCAAGCATGGGAGGTGGTTACCAGGCAGCTTGGGCCATGAGATAGGAAGGCTCTCCCCCCAATAAACGGCTGCTATCTGCCTGGTTGCTGGCATGCCAGCTCCACTGACAGACACAGGGCTAGGCAAGCCTTTTGCGGGTGATAAACTTCAGCCTGGGCCTCTTCCCATCATCACAGCTACTTCCCTATTGTTTGCAGAGCTCTGAATCTTCTTTCTATTTCCTGTCCCTAGCAGAAGGAAAAGCCCTACAATTCCTCCCACCCAGGGCCTTGGAACAATGATCCTTTCAGGTCAATGAGGAATAATACTGACAGGCAAGGCAGTTTTGGCCAATAATTCCAGCACTCAGGAATCTGGCAAGAAAATTGTCACAAACTTATGGACAATCATCCTGGGCAACAATACATAGTATCGCCTGAGCTAGACTGAAGTATAGAGTGTGCCCATCTTCAAAAGGGGAGGGAGACAATGTTACCTTCTTCTGAGCCCATTAGAACACTTTCAGGAACTTACCATTGCAAATGGTTCCCAATTGAGGTATGAATGCATGCAATGAAATTCTACTCAATAAAATTGTACTGATCTTATATCATCTACTCCTGTGGATTCATTAACTATCTGTATTTCTGACAATCTAAATGGAAAGCAAGCTGTGCCTTGTCATCTTTCTCCACTAAGAATCATGGCCCAAGGAGGAGTGTCTGACATGCAGGGCCACTCACCTGCAGTGGGACAAACAGCCAAGACAGAGGCAGGGCATGCCGATAGGATGGTGCCAACCTTCAGTGCTCCCAAGGATGATCCAAGTGCAGATGCTCCAGAGCCCAGGGCAGTCTGGGCTAACAGGTTGAGCCCTGGTGGGAGAAGGTCACAGTTCAGGAAGGGGTCAGAAGCCCAACCCCCAAGAAATGCCTGCTGTGGAGTCTAGAGAACCCATCCCACCGAGCGTCTGCCCTGGGGACAGAAAGGAAAAGAACACTAGCTGCACAGAAGGTGGTGTATGGATTTAGCAGTCAGAGTCTCCTGGGTTTTTCTAAGGGCACTGGGGATAGTAAGAGCCTCATTCTTAGTGTGAGAAAAACAATGGAATGAACCAATGCTATCCCTTGAAAACTAAGAGCCATGCAAATGGTAAAAATTGTCTGCAGAAACACACACAGACACATACACAGTGACAGCAATGGCTGAATTTGGGATTGAAAGAGAAGATATCTGTGAGGAGAATCAATGAATTAAAATGGAGAGGAAGAAAGACAGAAGTGAACTTTGTTGAAATCAACACCCTGACTTGTAGATCCAGAAGGACAAACAGGAAGAAAAGAAAAATGGTGAATTCTTGTGGTAAATTCAAGGACATGAGAACAGAATACAGGATACAGCCGCAGACTCCAGGTCTCAGAGAAAGACCTTAGGAAGCATGTAGGTCTGAGTTTTTAGGGAATCAAAGCCCAGGACCATGCCAGCATCTTACCTCCCTTAAGCTTTCTCAGAGACAAGGGTACCATGGAAGTGTGACAGTTTTAAAGTCAGGATGCCGCACTCTCCATAACTATCTCCTCACTCCCCATTCTTGACTCTTACTTATTGGTCACTCACCCTGTGAGCCAGCTAGTATTGCTCCAGAGACTGCCCCTCCAGCTTTGGCCATGGCTGCTGAAGCTGTGATCTTAGAGACAAGAGAAACCACCAGTGTGCCTGCTCCCGACAATGCCATGGAGCCCAGTAGAGATTCCAAAAGGACCCAAACCTGTGAAGTGGAGTTTAGATTAGGAGATTGGGGACCCAGAGCTGGATTTCCACCAACCAGCATGAAAACCCTGAGCTCCAGCGAGGATAGAGCACCTGGTCATAATTGTGGATCTGTCCCCTGTCTTGGGGTGCAAGATGCTGTACCTGTTAAATTCATGGGGAATCAGGAACCATTTCAGACACTACAAGTGATTTGTTCCATGGCTGATGGCGTCTTCATGAGAACAAATGGGGGGTCAGAGAGGGACTGTACACTGGTCTCCTCTCAGCCTTCAAGGGCGTTTGCTGAATCACCCCATCAAAATTCTCCTCATCAAAACCCTAAGACTAGGGGTTTCAGGAAACAGCTGTTTCTCACTTGGCCTTACCCAGTATAGATTTCCTGAGTATACTGAAATCACACCCACCACCAACCACAGCTCTACCCTCCCATCCACCCCTACCAGATCCCGGATGTGTTTCTGGGAAATTCAGTTCCTTTTAAGTGCAAAAATCCAATCCTGTTTGATGACATACCGGGAGATGCAAGGCAGCCAATGAAATAAGTTTCGTTTTCCCCAGCTCTCTCCAGGCCTGAAAAATCAATTTTGGATGAAGATACACCCTGGGTTCCAAGGTAGCCAATGAGATAGGTTTCGTTTTCCCCAGGTCTCTCCAGTCCTAAAACATTCCACTCTGGAGGAAGACACACCATGTGATCCAAGGTAGCCAATGAGATAGGTTTTGTTTTCCCTGCTCTCTGGTGTCCTGGAAACCGACTGTGGCTGAAGAACAAAGCAGTGGAAGGCAGCCAATCAGATAAGTGTCCTTTTTCCTGCTCTATCTGATCTTTGAGTTGCAATGAATGTCCTACTATTCTGTAGCAGAGGACTTCTGAGTGTTACCGTGTTTGCATTGTATTATTACATATTACTTCTTTGCCAGGCTTTTTGTTTGTTTCTTTGTTTTAGTTTCATTTCTTTTCTTTTCCTCCCAGCCACTACAGTGATGTGGTAGAAACTTGAAGTAATAAAATAGATGTGTTGTGCCCACTCAGAGAAGACCCCAAGGCTTTAAGGAGCTTAATGACACCGAATGCAAGTACAAGAAGATCCAATTATTTCCGGAAAACCAGCTAGCTATTTAGGGCTCAACTCCGACTGGAGAGTTGATCCCTGAGCCACAAAAGCAAGGCACTTTTAAAGAAAAACAGGATGGGGGAGGGGGAGTCCCAAGGTTACAAGTCCCAGCCTGCAGGGTTCCCATGGCTATACACATTACTTAGTATACCAGAGGTTATCAGGAGACTTGAAGGCATTGAGAAGATAGGAGGAGGAATCCTGAGGCTATAAGTCTCAGTAGGGTTTCCACAGCTACAGAGATTGCTTTGCACACTAAGTTTTTATATAAAGTTATCTCAAGACAAAGGACCTTGAGAAGACAATGACTGCATTTGGTTAGGTAGAATTAATTGACACATGTGTGGTCTGGGATTCCATGGCCAGAGCACACCCTAAGATTGTGTGTAAGGGAGTAGCTGCCCATGGGATGCTGTTGCTGCTGTTCGTGGGTCTGAGTTTCTGATCATGTAACCCCCCTCACTTAGTAGAGAAATTTTATTCTTCTTCTTATGTTTCACCAGATGCTATGAAGATTAACTAATAATCTTACTTAGGAAATATTAAGTTACACTAAGTAGAATTTATCTAAAGGAATGCTGCTTTCAATATGACTAGAAGGTATGTGATATATAACCAGGTCTGTTATAGACTGTACAAAAAGAAAGGCTATACCATAAGTGATGTTTAGAGTCCCTGAGAAAGTTTCCAATATTGTTCACCAAGATTGACACCCCTTCCCCAATTAGGCCACATTCCCACAACAACAGGAGACAACCCTGACTCCCATTCCCACACTAAAGAACATCCTCTTAAGGGCAGCTCAAGGAAGCATTGCAAGGTCCCAACTGTCATTGAGTCCTGGTCTGCCAACAAGTCCCCTGACCTCTTATCAGCAAAGGTTTAATTCTGCAAGTGGACCAGATAGACACAGCCCATGGAGAACCAGCTTCTGGGCTGTGGGCAGGCTTTGGAGGAAGAGTACACATTGTTGTAAAACTAACACTTTATTTTTCTATTGAGATTAGGAAAAAAAGAAAAAGCACCAACTTTCCTGATGATTTCACTCTTTATTCCCTCATGTTGAATTCTGTTGTCTCTGTTTGCTCTTCACGGCTTATAACGACCAACAAAATCTTTCAGGCATTACACCTGAAGGTCACATACCATTTTTAAGTAAAAGATAGCAAAAGAGTTGTAATAAACCCAGATAAATAATAGCTAGGAAGAAATAGACTTAAAAGCCAGACATTCTTGGACTGGACACTATTTCTATTTCTTTACAAAGAGTGATTGTCCAGGGGGAGAGAGGGAGGGAAGGATGGAGAAAGAGAGAGAGAGACAGAGAGAGAGAGAGAGAGAGAGAGAGAGAGAGAGAGAGAGAGAGAGAGAGAGAGAGAGAGAGAGAGAGAGAGAAGCTGAACCAACTCAGCTGAGAGGCCCCTGGCACAAGAATTGTAGGGCAGGGATTGGGGGGCAGGAGCACAGAAGAGTTCATATGGCACTCTCCAAGGCACGGTGACATTAAAAGTATTTTAATAAACTAAAATGTGTTTTTCCTTCCTGAATGTTACCCTGATCCTAGAAAGTGTAACTGGTAACTCTTTGTAGGGGCTGTGAAATTAGTTTATTTTTTGTAGTCCTGGACAGTTAGAGAATCTTCATTCCCAGTGGTGAATGTGAAGAACAGCCATAAAATTGAGGTTAATAATTTGTGCAAAGAGTTATTCAACTGACCTCCCTTATCATCTAGACCTGGCACTGCAATTCAGTTGCTTCAAAGTATTTACCCTGACTCAACAAATCAGACCACTGGCTACTTGTAAATAAGATTGTATTTTTCTGGCAATAGTTTATTTTAAAAACCATTAGCAAGGCACCCGGTCTAATCTAAAGCTACCTTGAAGTTTAAATAAGTACACACTATGTGGCTATCTTGGCATCTGGCAAAATACAGCTGTTTTCTTAAGCTGTACTCCAAGACAGTTCTTAATGGAAACTTACAACCCTGAGTTTGGCAGTATCTCTTTGTATTTATTTTATTCATAAAAGCTCTGTAGAGCCTAACATTATTAATATCAATTGGACAGTACAGCTAAGGAGAAGCCACCTCCATGACAATCCATAGATAAAAATGAGCAGTATATTGGGAATGTTTTCATGATATCATGAGATACACACACACACACACACACACACACACACACACACACACACACACACACAGTGGGGAATTCCCTATACAGATTTGGAAAGAATGCAATTAGCACATGTAAAATCATAGACAAAAGTAAAAGATATTCTGGAGTCTGTATTTCTCCTAGGCTTTGCAAAAATGAGTTTCCTCCATCAGAAAGTTTTTCTGGGGGTTGACACCTAGAATTTTAATTTCACTTCTATAATAAATAATGGGGATGGAGAGATGGCTAGGTGGTTAAAAGCACTGGCTGCTCTTCCAGAAGATGTGGGTTCGATTCCCAGCACCCACTTGCTGCTCACAACTGTCTGTAGCTCCAGTTCCTGGGGATCTGATGTCTGCACACCAATTCATATAAAATAAATAATTTAAACAATTAAAAATATGATAATGGCCTGTGGCAGACCTGGGTAGCAAACATTTGAAAAGAACAACACTATGTACTTAGGAAGTATCTCTGTCAATCTCTTCACTGAGTAAACCTCCCTTGTGCTCAAGGGGCCAGATTTGCAGACTCCTGTCTCAGTTAAAGTGTTCACAGTGTACACTGGGGCTGGGACTGAAAGAGACTTAAAGATGACAGCATGTGTGAAATGCTAAGCCTACGCTGTAAAGAAAGAAGCAGGGAAATCTTCTATTGGTAGCCACATCCTCTTTGTGCATTGCCTGTTGCTATGGAAATGTAGCTTAATTGGAGGGGTGTGTATCAATCTTGGTGAACAATTTCAGAAACTGTCTCACTGACCCTAAACATCAATTGTGGTATAGACTTTTCTTTTTCATTGTATGTATCCAAACTGGATATATGCCATGTAGTATCCAGTCCTACTGGAAACAGCACTCCTTTACTGTAACTTACTATTTCCTAAGCAAGAGTATTAGTAAGTCTTCATAGCGTCAGTTTTATTACTTCGAGTTTCTACAGTATCAGTGTCATGGGTTGTGTGGAACAACCCTGGCAAAGGAGTAATATGAAAAAATACATTTCAAACACCTCAACACTCAGAATGCCTCAGTTACAGAACACTAGGCAATCTTCGAAACCCAGAAAGACCTGGAGAGAGCGTGGAAAATGAAACCTATCTCATTGGCTGCTTTCCATCACCCTGCATTCTTCAACCACAATGGATTTTTCAGGACTGGAGAGAACGGAAAAAACAACATCTGTCTCTAATAGGCTGCCTTGGGCCACTGGGTGTGTCTTCAATAAGAGTGGATTTTTCAGGCTTGGAGAGACCAGTGAAGATGGAAAACAACTCACTGTCTGCCATCCATCTCTAGGTATGTATTCAGTCACAGTGGATTTTCCAGTGTGAAAAGAACTTGATTTTCCAGAAATGCATCCAAGATAAAGGGTGTTGTGGGTGGGAGGATGGGGCTGGTGGTGGTGGTGGTAGGTGTCATTTCTGCATATGCAGGAAATGTTCTTTGGGTAAGGCCAGGGGAGAGACAGCTCCTTTCTGAAATCCCTAGCCTTGGTGGTAAGGGCCCTTAGAAGTTGAGAGGAGGAATGAAAGACAGCATGAGACTCAGGAGGCTAATCCAGGCTTGGAGTCAGAGAGCAAAAATGTTGATTCCTGCTTGCCACAATGTCCTGGTGGACATGTTTCTTCACTAGTGTCCTGGAGGACATGTTTCTTCATCTCTAAGACAACTTAGTGAGCTGAAGATTAGGGGAGACTGATTTTAACTCTGTGGGACAGATTAGACCCTACTTTCCTAACAGGTTTTGCCCTGTAAGATGTATAGCAGGATAGATCTGTTAGTATAGTAATATACAGTTAAAGGTGGCTACTGCTGCTGAGCAGGTCTTGCCTTGCTCTAGAAGTTTCTTCAATGACATGCTCACACATTTTTCTTTTCTCTTCTTCTCTGTCAAATACGATTTTCTGTTTTACTTGTTGCCTATTCCTGCATTTTCTGAATGTAAACATTGATGTCCAGTGCTAGATACAGGCTTATTTTGTATTGTATGCCTAACTGACAGGCCTCAGTTGAACCGTGGGATACTTGTAGTTGGAAAATATGGAGACTGACAGAGAGAATGCGTTAGCATTCAGATATAGAGGACCAAGACACAGAGGACCATGGCTAGGCATATTTTTTATGAATACTTGAAGTCTTAAAGAAATTATACTGGGATCCAGACATTGATTTTGCAGGGTCAGGCAACTGGATGGTGTTCCTGTATTTATTGTCTTTGTGTGTTTTTAAAATCTGTGTCCATTGCCAAAGTTGATGTTTTAAATGTGTTCAGCATTTTTATAAAGTGATTTGTTTTTGACACATTAAAGATGGCTTGAGTCTTGTTTAAAAATAAGCAAAAAACAAACAAACAAAATGTTGGGAGGAGACCTGTGTACAGTCGTTCTCCAACCTTCCTTTTGTTCTCCTGAAGGCACTTATCTTCAAAGGTATGTCCCTAGAAGGAAGGGACCCAAAGCCCAGACTGCCCCTGTAGGCTAGAAGGTAGGAAAGATAAGCTCCAAGTGTTATGAGTAGCATAGTGAGAGCAAGCCATTTGTAAGCAGCCGGACCTGGCTGGTTTGTGCCTAACGTCCTTGCCATGGAACCTTCAGCCATGGAGCAAATCACTTGCAGTCTAAAATGGTTCCTGCTTCCCCATCTATTTAACAGGTGCAGGATGTTGCACCCTAAGGCTGGTATAGGCCCAGTGTTCCCACCAACTCTGACCAGGTGCCCTATCCACCCTGGAGCCTCACGTTGGTTGGTAGAAATCCAGCTCTGGGTCCCCAAACTCCTCCTCAAAACTCCACTTCTTTTCCCAGGTGTGTGTCCTGTTTGGAACCTCTCCATGGCATTGTTTGCAACAGGTGCACAGATGGCCTCCCTTGTCTCAAGGATAACAGCTTCGGTGGCCATGGTCAAAGCTGGAGGGGCAGTCTCTGGCACCATTCTAGCTGGCTCACGGGGTGAGTGCCCATGGAAGGTTCTAGAAGGGGAGTAAGGGATTGTTATGGTGATGCACTATCCTGCCCTTAGCAGCCCACTATCACACATCCATCATGGCCTTATCTCTGGGAAAGTCTTGAAGGAGACAAGAACTCGGTATGGTCTTGGACTTCGAGTCCCTAAAATCTCAGAGCTATGTGTTTCATGAGGTCCTCCTCTGTGAACTTGATTCCTGGTGTCTGGAATTCTGTTCTAATGTCCCAAGAATTCATCTTTTTTTTCTTTTGCTAAATTTTGTCCTTCTGGATCTATAGGCCAGGGTGTGGATTTCTACAAGTTTCTCCACTTCTGTGCTTTCTCCACTCTGTGCTTTATATTTTCTCTTCACAGATGTCTTCTCTGTCAACCTCAAACCTCATCCTTTGGTGTCACAGGATGTGTGTTTCTGCAGACAATTTTTATCATTTGCATGGCTCTTAGTTCTCAAGGGATGACATTGGTTCATTCCATTGCTCTTCTCACACTAAGAATGAGGCTCTTACTATCCTGTGCCCTTAGAAAAACCCAGGAGACCCTGACTTCTAAATCCATTCACCACCTTCTGTGCAGCTAGAGTCTTTTCCTTTCTGTCCCCAGGGCAGATGCACGGTGGGACTGGTTCTCTGGACTCCACAGCAAGCATTTCTTGGGGGTTGGGCTTCTGACCCCTTCCTGAACTGTGACCTTCTCCCACCAGGGCTCAACCTGTTAGCCCAGACTGCCCTGGGCTCTGGAGCATCTGCACTTGGATCTTCCTTGGGAGCACTGAAGGTTGGCACCATCCTATCGGCATGCCCTGCCTCTGTCTTGGCTGTTTGTCCCACTGCAGGTGAGTGGCCCTGCATGTCAGACACTCCTCCTTGGGCCACGATTCTTAGTGGAGAAAGATGACAAGGCACAGCTTGCTTTCCTTTTAGCTTGTGAGAAATGCAGGTGGTTATTGAATCCACAGGAGTAGATGATGTAAGGTCAGTACAATTTTTTCGAGACAGGGTTTCTCTGCATTGTTTTGGAGGCTGTCATGGAACTGGCTCTGTAGACCAGGGTGGCTTCAAATTCAGAGCAATCTGCCAGCCTCTGCCTCCTGAGTGCTTGGATTAAAGGCATATGTCACCAGTACCCCTGCATAGCAGTACAATTTCAATTGAGTAGAATGTCATTGCATTCATTCATACATCAGTTGCTACTCTATTGCATTGTTAAGTTCCTTGAATTTTTCTAATGACCTCAGTAATAGATTACATTCTCTCCCTCCCATTTCGGAGATGGGGCTCATTGTGTACTAAGGCTAGCTCAGGAGATACTATGTGTGTATCCCAGGAAGATTGCTCTTAAGCTTATGGAAATTATCCTTCCATATTCCTGAGTGCTGAAATTGTTGGTGCAAGCCACCCTGGCAGTCAATATTATTCCTCACTGACCCGAAGGGATCATTGTTCCAAGGGCCTGGGCAGGAGGAATTGTAGGGATTTTCTTTATGCCGGGACAGAAAATAGAAGATTCAGACCTCTGCAAACAATAAGGATGTAGGGGTGATGATGGGAGGAGCCCCAGGCTGAATTTTATAACCCCCATAAGTTGTGACAAGCGTGGTGGCCATCAGTTGAGCTGCCATGCTTGCAACCAGTCTTTCTTTGTTTTATTTTGTTTGAGCCTGCCCTGCAGTGCGGGCAGAAAAAAAAATGATAGCAAGAGACACCCTTCCCCAGAGCAGGCTCACAGCAAGCATGCAAAATATCCAAGAACACAGCAAATCCACCTGAGATATATGAGTTCTCCAGAATCCAGCTCCAGTCCCTGCTCAGGGCAGACAGATGCACCTGGGTTCTCTCTCTCAGGGAAGGACAGACAGGGCTCATTCCTTCCTGTCAGCTGGATGGGCAAGGGACAGTGGCAATCCTCTCACAGGATTTTCTTTTTGTTTCTAGCCAAGGCTGCTGTTGCTGTGCTTGGGGGAGGTAAGTATCTTCAGGGAAGGGTGCCAGTCTACGCCAAGTCCTGCCTGTATGCAGGGAGCCAGGAGGATGCCCATGTTGTCCCAGTAGGCCTCCCTGGAGGTGGTGGGGCAAAGGTGAAGATGGGATGGAGGAAGTGTCTAGAAAGAAGGACCTGAAACAAGGAGGGAGGGTAAGCAGCCACAGGGCACATCTTGAGAAGGTCCACACCGCCTTGTGTGAGATTAGTCACCTTAGCCTGGTGAATGCATGCAAACTCCTCTGAGCTCCTAATTGCTTCCTTGAAAAAATGAGCTTTTCAGCTCTTTTATAGATGCTCCAGAGGGCTGCAGAGCTGAGGTAAGCAGAGAGTAGGAATGTACTGGACAATGTATGCAGGGACCATTTCTGTGCTGCTCAGTGGAGACACAGAAGGGCTCTGGGATGCCTCCTCCAGCCCCAGCATCTCCTGTGTCCTGGAGAGATGTGATCCTCTGGAAATAGTAACTTTCGGCCACTCTCAGATCCTGTCATTAGACCTAGGCAGACACTGAGGCCCCAACCTCACCTATACTGAAGGTCTTGCTGCCCAGGACTCCATCTTCAGGGACAAACATCTATCTCTTCCTGTCTCTTGCTCCTGACTCCTGCCTGGTCGTCTGCTTCAAGCCTGCCTCTTGCCTCATATTCCACATTTGCTCTCTGGGCTTCACTGCCGAGACATTAGAGGGAAGAGGGAAAGCCCTGACCCAGGCTTCTCTGCTCATTCCCTCCTCCTCCAGACCCCAGCAGGTGCCCATGTTTGACCCAGTATGTTGGGGTTCCCTTTCCACAAATCACCTGACACAGCTGCTCTTCCCACAGCCATGACTGTAGCTGCTGTGCCCCCCGTGTTGAGTGCTGTGGGCTTCACAGGGACAGGAATTGCTGCCTCCTCTCTAGCTGCTAAGATGATGTCCTTGTCAGCCATTGCGAATGGGGGTGGAGTTGCGGCTGGTGGCTTGGTGGCCACTCTGCAGTCAGTGGGTAAGTGTCATGGCAGGAGGACTAGAGGGAGGGCAGCACAGGACCCAGATTCTCAGTTCCAGCTTTACCTTCCCTCTGTGTTTTATCAGGGGAGGTGGAGGAGGGAGGGGAGGATCCCTGACCAGTTTACCTGGGGCTCAAACCTCCACTTGGGTCCCAGCCTTCTTCCCTACAGAGGGGGTGTTTTGCCACTGGATTGATTTCCCCTAGAATTCCTGCAGGGAACAGTTCCTTGTGAAAGTAACTGTGCTAGACACAGATCCTGGAGAGTTTTGAAATAAGTCTGATATTGTGAAACCTGTACCTCAGGCCATCCTGAGTGACCCTGCCAACTATGACCCTCTCTGAACCCATACTTTCACCCCATTTCATGTATTTCATCCTTTATTTCTTCCACAGGAGCCGCTGGACTGTCGATGTCATCCAAATTACTCTTGAGCTCTGCAGGGTCTTCTCTCATGGCCCGTATGATTGGCATTTGAGATTCCCAGTCCTTCTCTGCTCTAGAAGGGAACATGGAGGTAGAGGCTACACTGTCCAGTTTCATCACCCAAGAGAAGTTAATCCCAGGGAAGAGTCTTCCAAGGCCAAGTGCTCAATTGGAAATAAGAAATAAAACCAATTTGTTGCCAGCCTTATTGTTCCCTTAACATCATGTGTGCTGTTTGCAGGGTGACGGCTGCTCAGGACCCTATCTCTCTGATTCTCACGTTTGGGTGGGTTAGGCTCGCCTCCTTCTCCCACATATTGTCACAGAGACACATGGCGAAGGTGAGTGCTCAGGTGGAATAGATGAAAAGTGAAAAACAGAAGCTACCCTCTGCCCTGATAACTCTGCCAAGGTCACCTCCTGAGTGGCTCCTACCTAGGTGGGGTGTTGACCTCAATGACCTCTAAGATCATGGCCATGTGGGGTTGGCTCAGGCCCTGTGAGGACTTTTAGCATCGCGTCTGCTGTGTCCTGCTCATCTCAAAGCCACGGCTTGGTTTGCATTCCCACCACCCTCCCCGCTGTGTATCCAGGGATTATTTCTGGTGGCCTGAATTCGAACATTTTGTCTCAGCTAGGTCACCAGAGAAAACCCACACCTTGCGTATTCTCTCAGTCCTGGAGCCCACTAAACACACTTAGTTTCCCCCTTGGTATGACCAGCCCAACCCTCCTCCATACTGGAGGGTGGGGAGGTTCACTGGTCTCACTTGGTCTCAGAAAGCAATAGTGACTTCTACCTTGGGTTCCCACTTCCTTCCATACAACCAGGGAGACTGTAGTTATGGGACTCCAGGGGGAATTTTCCACAGCAGAGGAAGTCCTCATTCTCCCTGAAAAGGAGGCATCCCTTTCCCAGTGTCGCCAAAGCCAAAGTAGGTTCTGTCTCCATTTCCTGAGTCATGTCTCCTTTTCAGGCAGTGGTATGTATAATTAGAAGATGCAAAACCACCATTCTCTGGAAAAGTTCAGGCCCTCCTTAAACTCCTAGAGACAATTTTTTTATACCCACCAGTGACCTGGGATGACTGTCAACAGCTCCGGGACACCCTCTTCATGGCCAAAGGCAGGGGCAGACTGGAGCATGACAGTACATAAACCACCCTTGGGCCTGACAGAGGATCACTGCTAGTTAGGGTTGTCCAGTTAGAGGGGGTTTTCTCTCAGTCTGACTTGACTGGGAGTCCTACACTGCCCAAGATAAGGAGACTGTGAAGAGTTTTTATCAGGTCTTTTTTTTTTCATGTATTGAAGGAAGCTGCTGGAAACATTTCCAAGCTGCCTAAGGTGACAGAGGTAATACAAGAGTCCTAGGAAACACCTACTATGTTCCCAAAGGACTTGTGTGACCCTCACTTGATGGTCACTCCCATAAACCCAGAAAGAACAGAAATGCAGTAGGAACAGTCAGCCTCAGATAATGGAAAGAAACCTCCCAAGTCAGAATGGTTTGGAATATGAATGTGTTCCAATTAATGAAGATAGCTCACAAGGTTTCCCATAATTATGACCGTGTAGGGCAAAAAAATGCAAATAAAAAAAAAGATTGACCTGAGCAGTAGCTGCAGTGTTCAGGGAGACATATAGAAGGAATTACAGAGGGGAAGTCAGAGACACCATGAAAGCAAATGGGACAAGGGTGCCCTGTCCTGTGTAAATATTTGCAAATGGGGGAGGTGTCCTAGCTGAAGAATTGTCACCCAGGATGAGGTAAGTGCCCAATCTGTCCACTTATTGATCCTGTTTCTCTTGGTTGGCACATACAGCTATGGTAGTAAAAAATATTATGCATACAGTTTTTTATCTGTGTACATGCGTGTACCCCAGGAGAAGGCACCAGATCTCATTAGAGATGGCTGTGAACCACGATGTGGTTGCTGGGAATTGAACTCAGGACCTCTGGAAGAACATGCAGTGCTCTTAACCTCTGAGCCATCTCTCCAGTGCTAGTAAAAAATAAAAAAATTAAATAATTGAGTTTGGGTCAGGAACCATTTTCAACACCACATACCCTGATGAGACCCCTTTGAAGGAGGATTCCAGAGAATTGGGTAGTCTCTGCTAGAATATGCTACTATCAGTCACTTCTATTCCAATCCCACACCTGTTTCTGTAAAACTTCAGCCATGAGTCCAGCCAGTGTGCTGCCAGACAATTACCCAACAGAGGCTCTTCTTGAGTGCTTGGAAGTGACTGATGCAGTCCAGCCCATCAGATCTGACCTAACAGATGTCCACAAGCAACCTCATATCTCTGTGTGTGCTCCCGCGATAGACTTCTGTATGCATTACCGTGTCCCATCCATTTGTCCCTCTTTCATGGAGTCTTCCAGATCCCCTGGTCTCTAGCTGTTTGTGTGTCATTGTGGACTCTGCCCAGCACTGCCTGTTGCATCCCATGGGCAATGACTACCACCCTTTGGTGAGGTCTGGACGGGGTACCAAGACATAAGGCAGGAATTTCAGTCTCCTTTTCAACTTTGTAGACATTGCACAGTGGTGACCATTTTTATTCTATCTCCTTCCAGAGGCGTCAGGGCAGTAGCTTAGGTCAGGGCATCCCTGGTACAGTGGGGTATCTTTTTGCTGGTCTTAGCTCTGCACATCCAGAATCATAGATGAAGATGGACCAAGAGCTCTGGGGTCCGTGTTCTTGGCCCTCTCACCTCAGCTCCAGGTCAGGAACCTCCCTTAGCAGAACCTATAATCAGGAGCAAATAAGCTTCATAAAGACCAGGAAAAATAAAAACCAAACCTTACCATACAGACCATCTCCAGTGACGCAGGGGTCTCCTAAAGCCTTCTACCTACTGACTGTGCTGGCCAACCTATCACCTCCCTTTGATCTCCCGCCTGAGTCTGTTATAGGAAACCTAAAGACTTCACACTCCCAGTCCACAAGTCCCTTCAAAGAGTCACCAGAAGCAAAGGTAAGAGCCCCAGCACAAGACCTCTATGTTTTCATCTTTCTCTGACCTCATTGAGTGATTTGGACGATCATCTTTGTGTCTACTGTCTCCTCCTGGTTTTCCTGATCGGTCCAACTGTCAATTGCTTCCTCAACGGATGCCCCAATAGCTGCCCCCACAGAGCCCAGGATGATGTTGGCTGACGTAGAGAGTCCTACGACACCTGGGAAAGAAACAGTGCAGTGACGCCCAGTGGTCTGAGGCTTAGAGATGCCCCATTGCCTTTTTGTCTGAACCCTAGGTCTCTGCATTAGACAGAGTTATTCAAAGTGGACCAGAAGTATAAGACAGAGTTTAGTAAACTGAGATACAGGAGGGGGAGCACTCCACGAGTGAATGTCCCCTCTAAACAGCAGGACAGAGGGGGACACACTGGAGAAGGACACCATGTAGGGAAGATTCAGAGCCCAGGTAGCATGCATCTTAGACCAGGGCTCCTCCCCTCTTCTGCCATCCAGTGCCACTTTTGCCTGCACCAAACCCCAGCCCCACTCACAATGAATCAGGGGTAGAGAGATGGCTCAATGGTTCAGAGCATTGGCTGTTCTTCCAAAAGACATGGATTCAGCTTACAACTGCCCATAACTCTACTTTCATGGCATTAGAGACCCTCACAAAGACACACATGCAGGCAAAATACCAACAAAAATAGACAAATCATTTTTAAAAAGAGTTAGTCATATTCAGCAAGGGTTCAGACAAAAGTACAGCTGCTCTCCGGAACTCTGGTCGACACAAATGTATCTGATTTCAGCAGTGTCCTGCAGAGGAAACTCTACTCACATCCAGGAGCATGTCCTTTAACCTCTGTCCCATGTAACATATGCCACCACCAACCCATTCTGACTACATGCGCATGGTGCTTTGTAAATGGCTCCTTCTACTGAACTGGCTGTTTAGATCTATATGGTGTTTCCTTTGCATCACGTTTATTGAGGCATAAATAAGGCAAAATATTCCATTCTCAGAACCTGCTTCTGTAACTTTGGATTTAGTTGCTTATGCAAATATTGTCTCAGATCTAGAAACCTCCATAACTTCTCTTCTCTAAATTGTCTCATCGTTCCTTTTAGTCATTTGCTTCCAGCTCTATCACTGACTCCCATTTGTCTCCACACACTTGCCCTTCCAGAATGCCCTGTGGCCATGTGCCAGCTCACTGTCCCAGCCTCTCCTTTAAGGGTGTGAATTTTAATGCTGGCTTCTGTAAGTTGCAAAACATGAAATGTTGATACTGCTATGCACCAGTATTTTCTTGTTATATGATCCTATAGATGAATCTGCAGCCCAGTGCTCCTGTTCTCCCGAAGCAGGGTATATTTCTGTCTTAGTCATGGTTCCTATTGCCATGAAGAAATGCCCATGACCAAAAGTCACTTGGAGAGGAAAGGGTGTATTTGCTTACACTTCCACATCAAGGTCATCAAAGGAAGTCAGGACAGGAACTCACACAGGGCAGGAGCCTCAAGGCAGGAGCTGATGCAGAGGCCATGGAGGGTGCGTCTTACTGACTTGCTCTTTTTAACTGTAGACCCACAGTAGAATGGTCACTAATAGCCATGCAACAGAATCAATATGGGGCTGTCTTGAAATCTCCTCTGCCAGTAAAATTAATTCAACAGGCTGTTCCTTTGGACTTAGGAATACCCTTAGAACAACGTGTGGGGGAGCAGTCACATACTTTTGCTGAAATATCACAAGAATGGTTTCTAGCCCAGTTCTTAATATTTTTCTCCTATACAACTTCTTGGGCTCTTCTCCATAATCCACATTGCTCTCAGCACTACTGTCTTCCCGGCTTCTCTGGGAATGGCCTAGTCGACCCGCTTAAATCATTCAAGAACTTTCCTAGTCCAAAGTCCCAGTGTTTCCTACATTCATCCCAAGACAGCATGGTTGAGCCTCTCATAGCAATAACTCAGTTTTTGGCACTAACTTCTATATTAGTTCCTTTTCTATTGCTGTGAAGAAACACCATTTCCAAGGTAACTAATAGAAGATAGAGTTTATCAGTGTTATAGTTTCAGAGGTGAGTCCATGACCATCATGCCTGGGAGCATAACAACAGGCAGGTAGGCAGACAGGTATGCAGACAAACATGCAGGCAGGTATGCCAGGCAAACATGCAGGTAGGCAAGCAGGCAGATATGCAGGTAGGCATGGTACTTGAGCAGCAGCTGAGAGCTGAAGTCAGATTGACAAGCAGGAGGCAGAGAAAGAGACGTAATTTGGCCAGCTATGTGCTTTTAAAGCTTCAAAGCCCATCCCCAGTGACAAGACCTCCTTCAGCAAGACCACACCTCCTAACCCTTCCCAAACAGTTCCACCATCTGGGAACCAAACATTCAAATGTATGAGCATGTGGGGGCCATTCTCATCCAAACCACCACACTTACACTCTCCTACAAGCCTGTGGGAGACCTTTGCTCATCTATTCTTAACACGACTTAGCTTTGTCATCAAAGGCAGCTGCTGTTGGCTGGAAGTGTAGCTCGACATTGGAGCTCTTTTCTAGCCCTGGTGAGATCTTGGGGTCCATCTCCAGCATAGCAAAATGAAACAAAATCAAAGAACAAACCCACTTTTAGTGACAGATTAAAATAGAAGGGATTATTCAATGACATGCACTTCTAGTGAGATTAAAAGCTTATTAGGTTTATTTTGAACTTACTTTGTGAATTATATTTTCTTTCCATTTATTTATTTATTTGTTTATTTATTTATTTATTTATTTATTTATTTATTTATTTATTTATTTGGTTTTTCAAGGCAGGTGCATATCTGTGGCCCTGGTTGTCCTGGAACTGGAATTCACTCTGTAGAGCAGGAATTCACAGAGATCTGACTGCCTTTGCATCCTGAGTTCTGGGATTAAAAGCAGCCCCCTGTCCCATCCATTTTCTGCTCCCCAAGGAAGATGAATCCTTCTATGGGAGATCTTCAAAGTCTATCATATCATTTGGAGCAGAGCCTTAGCCCTCTCCCGTGTGTCTAGGCTGAGAGAGTATCCTATGTGAAGTGGATTACCAAAGTCCATTCATGTACTAAGTTTAATACTGATCCTCCATCAGAGGCCCCATAGATTAACCAGACCTCCAAACTGACATTCTCGTTCAGGAGGTTTGCAACAGCCCTATGCTGGTTTCCCAGCTATCAGTCTGGGGTCCATGTGCTCCCTCTTGTTCAGGTCAGCTGTTTCTCTGGGTCTCTCCAGCCTGCTCTTGACCCCTTTGCTCATCACTCCTCCCTCTCTGTAACTGGAACCAGAGTTCACTTCAGTGTTTCTCTGTGGGTGTCTGCTTCTGCTTCCATCAGCTACTGGAAGAAGACTGGAGGATGGCATACATGGTAGTCGTCAATCTCATTATCACAGACAGGCATTTAAGTTAGCCTCTCGACTATTGCTTAGATTGTTAGTTGGGGTCAACGTTGTAGATCTCTGGACATTTCTCTAGTGACAGATTTCTCTTTAAAACTATAATGGCTCCCTCTATTATGGTATCTCTTTTCTTGCTCTCCTCTATTCTTCCCCTGACCCTAACTACCTGCTCTCTCATATCCTCCTCTACCCTCCTTTTCTTCCCTTTACTTTCTCCTAACTCCTTCTCCCCTCTCCCCTCACAATCCCAATTATCTCAGAAGATGGTCTCTCTTTACCTTTCTCTGGGGGCCCATGTATATCTCTCTTATCATCCTCCATGTTTCCTAACTTCACTGGCTGTGTGGATTGTAGGCTCTTAGTCCTTTGATCTATGTCCAAAATTCCTATATGAGTGAGTACATACCATGTTTGTCATTTTTGACTGGGTTACCTCACTCGGGATGGTTTCTTCTAGTTCCTTCCATTTGCCTGTGAATTTCAACTTTCCTTTGTTTTTTTTTTCCGCTGAGTAGAACTCCATTGTGTAGATGTACCACATTTTCTCCACCCATTCTTCCGTTGAGGGGCATCTAGGTTGCTTCCAGAGTCTGGCTATTACAAATAATGCTTCTGTGAACATGGTTGAACAGATGTCCTTGTTGTACAATGGAAAACAAAGCATCTTCAACAAATGGTGCTGGCATTACTGGATGCTGGCTGCAGAAGACTGCAGATGATTCCATATCTAGTTGCCATGCACAAAACTGAAGTTCAAATGGATCAAAGATCTCACCATAAATCCAGCCACACTGAACATCTTAGATGAGAAAGTAGGTGGTACCCTGGAACGAATTGGTACAGGAGACTGCTTCCTGAACATAACACCAGTAGCACAGACACTGAGATCTACAATTAATAAATGGGACTTCCTGAAACTGAGAAGCTTCTGTAAGGCAAAGGACACAGTCAACAAGACAAAAAGGCAGCCCACAGAATGGGAAAAGCTATTCACCAATCCCACATCTGACAGAGGGCTGATTTCCAAAATATACAAAGAACTCAAGAAGCTAGACACCAAAACACCAAATAATCCAATTAAAAAGTGGGGTACAGAAGTAAATAGAAAATTCTCAATACAGGTATCTAAGATGTCTGAAAGACACTTAAGAAAGTGCTCAACATCCTCAGCCATCAGGGAAATGCAAATCAAATCAATTATTAGATACTATATTACTCCTGTCAGAATGGCTAAAATCAAAAACACCAGTGACAGTTTATGTTGCTGGTGGGAGTGCAAACTCGTAGAGCCAGTTTGGAAATCAGGATGGAGGTTCTTCAGGAAAATGGGAATTAGTCTACTACAGGATCCAGCAATTCCACTCTTTGGCAAACTGAATATTTTACATAGATATTTATGTCTTAGACCATTATTCCAACACCATTTATTAAATGATCTTTACTTTATCATTGATTTGGTATTCCATTTTTTCTGCTCAAAACTCATGTACTGGTGTGTATGTGTGTATACATGTATGTTTATAATACATGTATGTATGTGTGTGTGTGTGTGTGTACTAGGACACTAGTTCTGAAATTTCATGTGATGCTTCAAAGATTTGTCTCTTCTAGCAACAATACCACACTGTTTTGATGCTTACAAACTTATTGTGTGCTTTAAAGTTTAATTGGTAGGCAATAAAAATACTAATTCAAAGTCACATGAGAGCACACTTCTGAAAAATAAAGTTAAAAGATAATTTGCAAGAGACTGGAGGGATGACCTACCAGTTGAGAGTACCGACTTCTCTTCCAGAAGACCTGGGTTCAATTCCCAGCACCCACATGGCAGCTCATAATCTGTCAAGTTCAGCTTGGTGCAAAGCTATTTACAGGTGCATGAGCAATGCAAAAAGACCACTCCTGGCAAAGTTCTCTGCCTTGTGATCCCTTAGTATTGCTAGGATTATACACAGCTGGGTCAAGGGTGATGGAGTTACAAGTCAGGAGTTTCTCTTCTTTATGAGGGACTGTTAACAG